AACAAATATGAAACAGGTCATCCCACTGCTCGCTCATTTTCCACTTTTTGAAGGTAATTCAGTGCATGAAATGAGCGAATCTAATAGGGAATCCAGGTTCTTCACCATCTTCCCCCCCTTTAAAATGAAGATCCCAAGAAAGGACGTTATGAGTTTTATCAGTGTGGTTCCCAAATACCCTTCTGTTGATCTTCCTGAGTCAACAGCATCGTTATTCTGTTCCAGATCCTGTGCAAAGCACCGTACACGTAGCATCTCATTTAACCCTCGCACGAACACTACGAGCTTATTTATTAGGTCATGCTATTTCCCCTGCCTCAGGTAAGTAAACTGAGGACCAAAGAGAGGAAGTAATTTGTCCAAGAACAAAGAGCCAGGGAATGAGAGTGCTGGGACTTGGGCTTGGAATCCAACGTCCTTAATTAACTTATACCACCCACCATAAGCTTTAGAACCAAAAGGCAAATGATTCTGTCTTCATGGGGAAGGTGATGATGTATAACCCTTTCCGGATGGGACACACAGAGTATCAAAGACTTGTACAAGGTAGAGAGGAAGCTTTCCAGAGAAAACCCAAGGGCAGGATTCTATTCCTGTAATAAAGGTGACGTGTATGGTTTTCTTTCTTTTCTTACTCTCTCACCCAGACGCAGTCCTCTTAGTACCATGAAATATACAAATTCACAGGGAAATCCCAAACGTCCTCTGACCGTTTCAACAAATACTGACTGACAGCCTGCCTACTATTCACTGGGCACTATCAGCCATGAAGACGCAACACTGATTCAGACAAATCTGCCTCTTGCTTATAACCTGGTTAACAGGTATATTCGGAAGGTGACAGAAGCTGTAGTAAGTGAAACAGACAAGAGGCTTGGGTGGCTGAGAGTGAGAAGGGGGAAGAGGGAAATCATCTTTAATGGGGGTAGTCAGGGCAGCCCACGCCAAGAAGGTGATATTTGAACTGAATAATGAAGGATGAGAAGGGGTTAGCTCTGTGAAGCACAAAAATGGTTCCAGGCAGAGAATCGCATGGTCCAGAGGCAAGGAAGATTTGAAGGCATCTGAGCGCAGTAACAGTGTCTAAATAAAATATTTGAAGCCACAGAGCAAAAATTTAGTTTCCAAGAGTCTCGTGAAAAAGTAAGAGCCACTCCTGCAAGCCACTACGTCCACAGAGTCAACTGATCAACAGACAGCCGTGGTCAAGTGGTCGCCAACGCTTCTCAGTCTCTGGGACACGTCGCCAACTGGGCCGTCCATGAGCACCGCTGATGATCTCTGCCACAGTCATGCGGCAGCTTCTCTGTGCATGCGACACTGTTCTTTGAGGGCCAGTCCCAAGAAGACGTGTGGGGACCAGGGGCTGCTTTGCAGACTCAGCACAAAGGCAGGGACCGGGATGAGGCCGGGCCAGACCGACCCCATGTAGCATCAGCCTGCATGAGTGAAACCCTACTGAGTTTCAGATTATCATCAATACCAACCTGAAAGCAGTTAGTGAATTCTGCTTGCTAGGCAGGCCCAGTGTCTGAGTAAGTCAAAAAACGGAGTAAAGAAAGAACTGCTTGCCTCTCAGGGGAAAGCGTCAGAAGGGGACCAAGAGATCTAAGTTCTGTTAGCCAGGCTGTCCAGCTGTATACGTGGCTGCAGAGTCCTTGAAGACGGGCATCAAAGCCACCTCCCAGGGTTTTACTTAAACTTCCAACAGAATACCAGGCGAGAAGCAATGGATTGTGAAATGTACATTGTCTAACAGTACAGTAAAGACCAGTGAACCAGCCAGAGGATGGTAAAAACTCCTCAGAGACGGGGATTTCCAGCACATCACCCAGGGTGCATGGCACAATGCTGGCATTTATTACCTACCAGGAACTGGGCTAAGCTCCTTACAAGCATTATCTCAGTAATTCTTTATAGGAATCTAGCTCCTATTTGTATCCCCATTTCCCAGATGAGAAGGTCATGGCCCAGAAAGGTTAAGTAACTTATGCAGGGTCACTCAACCAGTAAATGGAAATGGTAGAATGTGAATCTAGGCTGATTTAACTTCAATGCAGACACTCTTACCCACACTGCTATCCTACAACTACAGCAGGCATTCAAGAAATGTCTGTGTGGGCTTCCCTGGTGGCGCAGTGGTTAAGAGTCCGCCTGCCGATGCAGGGGCCACGGGTTCGTGCCCCGGTCCGGGAAGATCCCACATGCCACGGAGCGGCTGGGCCCCTGAGCCATGGCCACTGAGCCTGCGCGTCCGGAGCCTGTGCTCCGCAACGGGAGAGGCCACAACAGTGAGAGGCCCGCGTAGCGCCAAAAAAAAAAAAAGGAAATGTCTGTGAATGCATCGGCTACCATGTTTCATGAGCATCTATCACAGGCTGGTACAGGCAGAGACTATATTATGAAGTAAAGGGAAGCCTCTTCTGTGGGATGGTAATTTCCCCAAGAATAAAGTACAGGCCAATCTGGAAGAGAGAAACTGGACAGGAGTGGCTTACTTGTCTCCTCCATCCTCCAAAGTAAGCTTTCAGCAGACATATGGGGAAGAGCAAAGCAGAGATGCAGAGTAGGCAACACTGTCCAGTCTCTGAGGGATAGTTCAAAGCCATCAGTGGCAGCCCTCACACATACTGGGAACAACACAGTTGGGTACAGGCCTGTATGTCCTAGGACCTCATGCTAGTACTAAGGCTTTAACAAAATCTCCCATCCAGAGGAGAGAAAATCCATTCGAAAATTTGGGAGTTTAAATTTTTTTTATAATTTATATATTTATTTATTTATTTATTTATGGCTGCGTTGTGTCCTCGTCGCTGTGTGCGGGCTCCTCACTGCGGCGGCCCCTCCTGCCGCAGAGCACGGGCTCCAGGCACGCGGGCCTCAGTAGCCGTGGCTCGAAGGCTGCAGAGCTCAGGCTCAGCAGCTGTGGCACACAGGCCTAGTTGCTCCACGGCATGTGGGATCCTCCCGGACCAGGGCTCGAACCCGTGTCCCCTGCACCGGCAGGCGGACTCCCAACCACTGCGCCACCAGGGAAGCCCTGGGAGTTTAAATTTTGGTTAATGGTTCTCGTGAGACAGAAATTTCTTTCTCAGATTTGCCATGGCACTTCTAGTAAGAATATTATGGTCCTAGAATATTTACTGAGATATGTATCTCTGCTGAGAATTGAATAAGCTGAAATTCAAACATGTAAAATTCAAATAAGACATTATACACACAAATCAATCAAAGAAAGAAGGCATTCATCAAAATAAATAAAAATTAGACATGGAAGAAAAACTGATAGCATGATTTCATATAAGTAACCACGATTGCTGCTCAATGACCATACACCTTTTCTTCACTGCTACTAGAACCTGGAATTTATCTGGGGCAACAAATGTCTCAAGTCTAAGGATCCAATTCCCAGATGCCCTTATATTAGGGGTGGATAAAAGGATGTAAATAGAAGCCACTGAGCAAGACTTCAGGGAAAGTTCTTTAAAGAGGACTTCCTCAGCTGGGAGGACTACTCTTTTTGTTCTTGTACTTTTGCCTCTTCCTTTCAGGATGCAGAAGCAGTGGCTGCAGAGCTAGCAGCCATAATGTGACCTTGAAAATGAAGCAACACCTCAACAGGCAAGCAGAGCATAAAGACAGAAAGCACAAATTGCTCTCCCCCAGACATCTTTTATGAGAGAACACACAACTAATTTTTTTAAACTCACATAGGTGCATCTCTGTTACTGGAAAACAATTCTTAAATGATAGAAAGACATGAAAACATATCTAAAGACTAGCCTACTGTTTTTTGTCAGAAAAAAAAAAAACCTAGGAATTCATGAATTGAGATTCTGATTACCCCTCTATTCACCAAGCTGTTTGTTTAAGTATGACTTTCCTTAATTAGTACCACTAGTCCAGGGAAGCATATTTGCTGAACCTGTCTCTATGTTTTGACATGCAAGGCTTGTGAATTTCAAACACACTTGTAGACATCCAAAGCATTATTATTTATTAGGGCCTATTTTAAAGGTAAGATCTGAAAACACTCGCAGAATCTGATGATTCAAGGACATTTAATAGTTCTGTATCGGCATTTGATCTGTAGCCTGCCATAGTCTATCCGCATAGCCCTTCATCCGTATTTGATACCAAAGAGGCATTTCAACAGCTTGTCCATCAACTATAAAATAGAAGGAACATACAGCCAAACCACATGACTTGGAAAATAAAAGAGCTTTCCCTCACACTCATTTAGCTCATGAAAACCCAATGTGATTAAAAGGGTGAAGGAGGTATATTCCACTAGGTGAACCATAATAATGGTATACGGCATCCATTACATTTGTAAGGAGTTTCGAAATTTTCAAAGTGCTTTCCTGTACATTATATCTTGTTTCATCCTTACAACTACAGCCTACTCCTACCTCAGTAGAAAGGGCATTATTTTTTTAAATTCCCATTTCTTCTTGATAAAAGGTTTGCTCAATAACAGAGGGACTGCTACCTGGTGAGGTATCCTGATTCCAGGTCATCTGTTCCCCTTTGATGCATCAGATCAGGGTCCACAAACTACGGCCTTTAGGCCAAGTATGGCCCACGACCTGTTTTGACAACTAAAGTTTTATTGCATGCAGTCACGCCCATTTGTTTACCTGTAGTCTGTGGCTACTTTTGCGTTACATCAGCAGAGTTGACTAGTTACAAAAGAGACTCTATGGTCCATGAGGTTAATAATATTTACCATCTGGCCCTTTAGAGACAAAGTTTACCAACCCTTCATTAGATCACCCTTCCACAGATATGATGCAATTTACAAATCCTGCTCCGAAAAGCCATAAAGCTATCGTGGAAGGCAATAAACCTATTCCTGCTGGCTTTGGAACT